AAGCTCAGTAAAAGTTCAGTCTCTCCGCCGGTCAATCCAGTTCAGTTAGCCCTCGCCCCGTTGGGGGGGGGGGGGGGCATTTTGGCCCCCCCTGTGGTTTTTCCTGAATAAAACGGCGCCGCCACATTTTCAGTACCTTCCCGGGCATCAATTTGACACCTTCACACCAAATTTCAAGTCTTAGGTCACCTTAGGTAAGGAGTTATTGAGGTCAAACTGAGGTAATGTTCGAGCAAAAATGAGCAAAAAACATGCAATCTTGAAACGCTCACCAAATCTACAGTTATCAAGCAATTTCAAAGTTCTTTATAAGGTCTAGTAGACAAAAAGCGGCGCTACAAAACTTTTATCTCGGATTTTCAAAATTTTGGTTTTTTGACCCCAAAAAAATTCAAAAAATTGTTTTTTTAGAAAAACTAAAAAAAAATCCAAAATTTTTCCGAATTTCAAAAACCGGAATATATGTGATAGTCCCCCCTGCGCTCTTCTATATATGTCGTAGGCATCGGGTGAAATCCGGCATTTCATGAAATGCCTAGGCATTCCATGGAATGCCGGCAAAAACTGAAATCTTCGTAGAAATAGGCGCGTTACAGCGAATGCCTGAAAATTTTAGGCATTTCATGAAATGCCAGGCGGAGGCCAGGCACTCCCTGAAATATGGTCAAAATTAACTGAGTACACTCGTTGCCTAGGCTTTACATGGATTGCCCAAAAGACGACCGGCACTCTCTGTAACAAAACTTTTCGTACGCGGACGGTTGTGTGCATATACACGCCGGCGGGCGGGAGGGGGAGGGACGTTATCGTATTGGTGTAAAATGGGCTAACACTACGAGATATTTCACGGATCGTCTCGTCTGCAGCGCAGCGTACCTACTTTATTGTTAGCTAGTACACAAATATTACACTGTGCAGTTATCGGCTTTCTCTGAAGTGTGGGGTCTGCTATGTTGGTCCATAGGCAGTAAAAAAAAAATATCGTCTGGAAACTCTCCTATAGAGACCGCATTTTCAAACAAAAGGTTCCAGTTCTGGAAACAGTTCTAACTGTTTTATTATTTGTTGACACATGGGAGCGCTGCGTGGAACCGATTCGTACACATCATTCCAGCCTTACGGTACTTGCACCTTTTGGTGTTGCACTGTTTGGCGCTGGCCCGGCATGCACACTGCTTCATCCCTTGCCCTCCAAAAAGTGACTGCTCTCGGAACGCCTCTCTCAGGCCAAGAGTGCGATCTGTTCCGACCACCCCAACCTCGTTTGCATCGGTTTCCCGCAAAGCTGAGCGCGGAAACCAGCCCTTTATGACCCCGGCGCGCGTACTCAGCTGATACACATCATTCCTTGCATCAGTGATCACTGCGTGGATGTTAGCAGGATCGAGCGGCCCACGGTCCGCTTTGGGCGGGAAGCGCGGGAAACCACATAGCTGCGGTAATCGTTTCTGAAAGTACCGGCCGTCAGTCGGGCATTTCATGTAATGCTTAGGCAACAAATGTACTCAATTGGTTTTGACCACATTTCAGGGAGTGCCTGGCCTCCGCCTGGCACTTCATGAAAAGCCTAAAATTTTCAGGCATTCGCTGTAACGCCCGTATTTCTACGAAGATTTCAGTTTTTGCCGGCATTCCATGTAATGCCTAGACATTTCATGAAATGCCGGATTTCACCCGATGCCTACGACATATACATACCAAATTTCAGATCGATATCTCGTTTTTTGGCCAAGCTATAGCGAAAAAACTTTTCAAAAATGATGACGTCAAATTTTTTAACTCAATTTTTAGCGATTTTAGACCACGTACGGCAAAACAAAGACCACCATTGAACTCCCCGTGACGAGGTGCATCGACTCGATACCCATTTTATGCAAAAATATTAACTTTGGAATTTGACCTAATTTGACCTGACCTTGACCTGACCTTGACTTGACCTTGACCAAAACGTGACCTGAGCTGGCCCCAAAGGCTGTCTGACCCACATAATCACATTTGTCATGTAAAATGGGCCATAAAACATGTATCACACGACACTTTCATATTGTGACCCCCGCAGTGACCTGACCTCTGTGACCTGACCTGGTATCAGTGACCTCAAATAGCAAAATATGTGTTTGAAGAACATTTCCCCATCAATGATTTTCAATGAAATGCATTTTACTCGATTTTACAACGCATTTCTTGAAATGCCTGTAAACGGTGAAAATTGGACATTTGACCTGATCTCTGACGTCATCGGTTTGACCTGGGTCAACAAAATTGGGTCACAAGGTAGTTCCCTGATAGGGCTATCCAACACCGTTTGCCGCTTGTCGCTAGGTTGCGTGGTTCTCGAGATCTTAGGGGGGGGGGCAAAATGCCCCCCCCCCAACGGGGCGCGTTGCTCGGCAGAGCCCAACGGGGCGCGGGTTAGTCTACATACCCAGCCATACTTATCCCGTCACACTCCATGCTACTCCATGGTACAGCATATTCCAGGTCAGCCACTGTTCAGTCCAGGGCGAGGGGTTTTGTCGAAGTCGAAGTGCCTCGTCGATGTGCACTTCAGATCAGGCATCACGATTCACGGCCCAGCCTTTTGGAGCCTTGGTCTGGTCCCACCACGGCCCAGCTCGCGATGCCACCGGACCGTTGTCCTGCGCCCAGCACATGGTCCAGTGTCCCCGTGGTCTGGTTCCACCACGTCCCAACTCAGACCAAGGCCACTCAGACCCGCAGTGGTCCACCTCACGACCCAGCCCAGTGTCGTCGTGGTCCTATTCACGACCCATCTCACCCACGGGGCATTCCACGTCAAATCAAACACCGAAATCCGTCATCCCCTTCGATTTTTCTGAAAATTTGTTGGCAGACTGCGCATGGTTCAAAACTGAGTTACGTATAATATTTTCGAAATTTGATAAAGTATCGCTGAGATATAGGTCATCGAATATAGCCAAAAACGCCGCACATCAATTTTTTAAATGTCTATAACTCTGGTTCCTCTTCTGGTATCAAAATGATATTAACTGGGTCTTGTAGGCAATTGATAAGGCTTTGATTTTTAATTATAAAATTAAATTGAAGTGACCTTGAAATGCATTTGACCTTGAATTAAAACAGAAAAATTTAAATAGCAAAAAACACGTCACCTTCGATTCGGGTAATTTTTACATATTAGGTATGTCCGTCACAATGTTCCTAACCATCTGTGAAAAAATTGGAGTGGGCCATTCATAACTCTCGCGGCAAACGCCGTTTTCATGCATCAACATCACGCAACCGCGCGTGACCTTGAAAGACAGAGTCAAGACATGCTTGCTTGTGTACACTTTCTGAAATGAATGATTGCTGATTAGTGATATCCCAAACTCTGCGAGAATGGAAATACATAGTCATCGTAGTCAAGCATTCAAGTTCCATAGTAAGTGTCTCAGGCAAATGGTATTTTGCGGTGAATTTTGAGCCGTGTGGAAATGCATCATGAAGCCAAAAATTTCAACGAAAACATTATCACGCAACGATATCTTCACGTCTTTTTATCTTCACTATACGAAAGAATATACATTTTTGAGTATGTATGGGGAATTTCTAGTTAATCCAATAATAAATATGGCAGAGTTAGAGACCTGCTAAGAGTAACATGTCGCCGGCTGAGGCGGGATCGGCCGACGCGGGAAACGCAGCAATCACAATTTTGTGTTTACACGTTCATATTTCAATTGTTTGCCAACCGATTTTCAAAATTCTTACACCATAAGATTGCCTGTACATTTCTTAGTCTTCTCACAAAATTTGACGCGAATCGAACGTAATCAGCGGTAAGGAACGCGATGTAAAGACGGAACCGTTCCGTTCCGTCCCGGCACAGTCTACAATTCAGGCGGCGGCTAGCGGTCGGCGCCGGCTGCCGAGTCGCCGCGTCGCCGCGGCGACAGGATGTTCACTTTACACCGCTATTACTAGACCAGTTGTGAACCGATTTTCTTCTTGCTTGCACGATGAGATGTGCAATTCAATTTTGGACAGGTAGCTATGATTAATTTCGCATTAATACTATGAGATATTGGCGAAAAACAGGAGGGGTGGGGCGAAATTCACTCTTCCCCCTCCACTGCGCGTGCTAACATACGTTTGCATATGTGCCATTTTCTTCAAAACTTATGAATGGCCCACTCTAATTTTTTCACAGGTTGTTAGGAATATGGTAGGCAATAAAATATATGAAAATTAGCCAAATCGAAGGTGACGTGTTTTTTGCTATTTCAATTTTTGTGCTTAAGAACAGAGTTAAGCAAATTTCAAGGTCATATATTTAAGTAGTTGCAATTTTAAACAAATGCTTAAGAAATTACCTAAACAGTAAGGTTTATTTCATTCAAATCAAACAAGTACAACCAAAGTTTTGGTCGTTCAAAAATATAAACATGCAACATTTTGTAAAAATTCGATGCCCTATATTTAGAAGACCTGTGGTCAGAATGTGCAAAAAAAAACATCAATGTAATGTTCGGGGCGACACAGGAACTCGCTCACAAATTTATAATGAAATCGCTGATGGTAAGGTGCAAAACAGCCGATTTTTGTTCGATTTGACGTGGAATGCCCCCCTCGGCCTTGGTCCCGATCATGACTGTACTGCCTTGCAGCACTCGTGCTCGTCGCCAAAATTATGTACTTATTTGAAGTATATATTATCAACTTACACGATTAGCAATAAGAACAAAAACCAGGAAAATCGTAACTCCGCGCGGTTCAAGCGTTAACGGGCGACCTCGCTTCGCGAGCCGGCCGGACAGTTACGTGTCACCGCCAGGCGGCAGCACTGGTCCCGTGACCCGGTATCACGTGACGCATGACGACACCACAGCGACCCAATCCAGTGCCGCCACGGTCCGACTCACGGCGCGGTCCAGTGCCCTGTGGTCCCCTGGTCCGTGGTCTGTGGTCCGTGGTCCGTGGTCCGGTCCGATTCGGTCCGATTCGACCACCGCTCGGTCTCTCCAGACTCCAGCGGCACCTTGTAATCAGCGTTTGACAGACGTTATGAACAGCCACCTAAGAGCGCGTATTGGAATTCCTCAGCGTATTGTCTGTGTTCCGATGCGCCACGATAAGAGGCTGTCTAATTATACCGTCGACAAATGCGCCGCAGCTGATAATCATCTCGGTGAGTACAGACACACACTGGAGGGTCGGGAGACGCCGGCGGCGTATATTCTCCTAGCTGGGTCACGGGGTGGGTGGGAGTCACGTGCCTGCCTCGTCAATGATAGACAACTGTTGGTAAGGACCGCGGGGTTGGAGTGAATGCGTCCCGCGTATCGGAACGTCTCTATTGGAGCGATCGAAAATCACGTGATTTTCATTGAATAAGTCGTACAAAGTCGCTTGTGATCTAACCCCCCCCCCCCCTCCGCCTCCCGCGCTGGGATATTCAGCCAGACGCGCCCTGCCGGGAGAGGGGGTGGCAGATTCTGCCCCTTTGAACTTCCGAACAGATTATAATCAAAGTAAGACGGAAAAGGGGCAATCGAAAGCTCTTAATAAGACCTATCTTTGGAGCTAGTTTGTTTTGGCTGAAGTAAGTCACAAGTCAGGCCAAGGTCAGTCAAGGGTAAAAAAATACAAGTTTCTACATTGTAGATTCTACAATGACTTTGGAGCCCAGTTGGCGAACAATGGATAGATAGATAGATAGATAGTTTATTAAGACCCTCCATTGACATGGTTTTTATGGTGTCTACGTCAATGACAAATAAACAGACATTGTAAAAACGCTTAGGCAAGACAGGTGCTACATAAAAAATGACACACTGGCATAAAACAGTGAATATAAAACACATGTGACAACCGTGCCTATACCTATATGACAAGTGACAGCTGACTACCTGTGGCTATTCCACGCACTCGCCGCACGATAAAGAAAACTTCGGCGGGCAAACTCGGTGCGGACCCGGGGCAGCTGCAGCCGGCCGTCGGACACGGCGCGGGTGCTGCGGGATGACACATCGGCTCGCAGTGCGAACTGTTGGCGCAGAAGTTCAGGAGTGATAGATGAGTCGATGATGCGAGTGACGTTTGCGAGGTCACGCTCGGCGATCAACTCGTCTACGGTGGGCCACCCCAGTTCCCGTAGCGCCGCAGTCACGTGATCGCGCCGTCTAAGACCGCTAACAATACGCGCACCAAAGTTAATAGCTTTCTGGATGCGACGCTTCTGTGTGACCGTACAGCTTCCCCACACACTTAAACAGTAACGTATGTGGGGAAATACTAGAGCTTCGATCATCAGCTGTCTTGTGCATCTCGGTAGCTTATGTCGGATCCTGGCCAGGCACACCAGCACGCAAAAGCACTTACGAACAACACCCGTGATGTGTTCATCCCAAATCAGGTGAGAATCGATGACGACCCCCAGAACCCTGACACTGTGGTTTGGTTTAAGCTCATCGTTTCCAAAATGAATCGAGAATGTTGAATCAAGATTTTGACGTCTAGATTTGATTATTATCAGTTCAGTTTTAGCTGGGTTAATTTTCAGACGATTTTGGGTGAACCATCTCAGTCCAACTGAGAGAGAAGTTTCGATGCGGTCCTTCAAGTTTTGCAAGTTTGTATAATAGTCAGTGTCAAGGAACTGGGTGTCGTCAGCGTACATGACTAATTTACCATGTGGAATGTGCTGAGGTAAATCATTGGTGAAAATCAAAAACAAAATCGGCCCCAAAATCGAACCCTGGATCACTCCATGGGACACGTTCATAGCAATTGATCCACCTCTCACACATTGTGTGCGTCCTCTCAGCCAGGCCGAGAACCATCCGGAGTCAATCCCGTACCAACCGAGTTTGTCCAGGAGACGGCCATGCTCAACGCTGTCAAAGGCCTTCGACGTATCAGCGGTGACAAGTGACGTCACGCGGCCACTATCGATGTTCGTCACCGCGTACGTAACAGCATCGAGCAGGGCCGCCTCCGTGGACAAACCCGGCCGGAACCCGTACTGCTGGGGACACAGGATGTGGTGCTCGCTTAAATACGTCACTAGCTGGGAGCAAACAACTCTTTCACACAGCTTGGCGACAACAGGCAACACTGATATGGGTCTGTAATTGTTTGGGTCGCTAATGTCACCCTTCTTGTGAAGCGCAGTCACAGTGGCGGCCCTCCATGACACAGGTACGTCACAACTAACAATAGAACTGTTGACTAGCGCCAGAAGCTTGGGGCCAATCACTGGGAACGTTTCACGCAACATGTGCACAGTGATGCCGTCTGATCCGCATGCCCGCGAGGATCCCAGCCGCTGGAGCGCCGCAGAAAGCTCGGGGAGAGTGGCGGCCCTCGGTCTGAATGCACCCGAGCACACACGTGGCGGACGGGGTGTCAGTCTGTCCCCGGTGTCCTCCGCGGCCAGGGCGTCAGCCACGTCAGGGCCGACTGACGCGAAGAATCGGTTCAATCGGATCCAGCTTGATCATCTAGAACGCGTTATTAGGCTACCAAAACAAGATGCGAATATGCATGATATACAATTTCATGCAAAGGTCAAGGTCAATGTCAGGTCGGGTCAGGTCACAGAAGACGTTCGACCCAAATTCACAGCAGACCATCAATGAGGTGTCCTGTGATTCATTAGGTACCTGTTTTCACGAAGTCATCTGCTTGGGTCCACTGGCACTGTCCCTCTCGTCCGTTCCAGAGCGATGGACGCCACCCCTCCCCTCCCCTCCCCTCCCCACCCCCGATAATGACGCCCACTCAGTCAGCTGATCAGCCGGTGTGACGTCATCCGATGGCCCAGGGTGTCAGGGGATGATGGATCGGTGGTCAGGAGGGGGGGGGGGGGGGAGGGCGTCATTGTCGCCACGCATCGCAGAACAATCGGTTCATACACCGAAGTCACTGACTCTCAGTCACCGATGAACTGGTGAACGGTCACTGCAATCACTGTCCATTGGGTTACCGTCGGACACAGGGCACGCAGATCATTGGTCACAGGTGTGCAGGTCACCGATTAACAGTGAAGAGTCAGCAGTCAGCAGCCAGCAGGAATCAGCGGTCAGCAGCCAGTGGCCAATGGTCGTCAGGGAAAGATCAGCGGCTTTTAGCCGCTGATCAGCGCATTTAGCAGTCTTCAGCGCATTTAGCAGTCTTCAGTGGTCAGTGGTCGTGAACCCCACAATACTTTCATTGTCGATCTGCTAAATCACTACATATAAGCTTCTGTTAATTGGCATATTTTTGAGTTTCCGATACTGACACATTTGTTGCCGCTATTCACTTACATGAGTGGTTCGTGCTGAGCTCGGCAGTCGGCATGCAATTCTGAAGCCACTTTGCCATAATGGATGCTTGGCTATATCAGGTGCAGGGTAGCTGGTTGATTCGCTGTTGCAACTTCACTTAATAGTCGCTCAATCATCAATGCTTGTCCTTAATAAATATCAATTCAGTATGTTTCTGTTTAATTTATTTCTTATTTTGATAACCATCAAATGACCATCAAATGACTGCCTGTCTCTGTACATAAAACGTGGGTCCTTGTGCAGTGTCAAAGCGTCGAAAACGCTGAATCTCACTCAGATGTCCAAATAAGATGATTGATGATCGTGTATCACAACATCTTCAATATATCACGGACGGATGTCTCGCTCACCACTCTCTCTGCTGAGTAGACGCTCCCACGGCCCCGGGTACTGTCTGTACTATTCCGGCCGCTAAGCTGGTCAGGGAATCCTCCCTGTGACCTCAGTCAGCCGGTGTTGTCTGCTGACAAACCGCCCTGTTCCATGGAACACCGGCGTGTCATCATCTCCACTGACGCAACGCGTCTCGTAGGCTCTCAACCGCAACCCGCTAACCTGGCATAGGATATCGCCGATATGCAGAAATCCAGGGGAACATTGCATCGCTGGATGACGAAAATGGGATGTTTAGCGGAAGTATTATATATTCCCGACCGGGGCTGGGAAAATGCGTTTTATTCACCGAGGTTTTTGTGCGGAGGACCGAGTGCCGGTAGGCACGAGGTCCGTAGCCAAAAACCGAGGTGAATAAAACTGCATTTTCACAGCCCAAGGTTGGGAAGAGATTTACCACATGCCATACCGGCGCAACAGTTAGCATCATATTCATTTGATATCATATATTATATTCTTAATATTGTGTTAATATTATATTAATATTACGTACATATTTATAGTCACCGTGATTATTTTTTGTGTTTTTCATTATTGGGCTGCGTTGAGTAGGTATGAAAGATGAAATTCCCCCTTATTTAGGGTTTAAAAAAGCTGAGGATGAAGATGGTGAAGAGCCAGAAGTTAGAATAAAGATATGGAGTCGAGCAGGAGCGAGGAAACCGTAAACTGAAAATTGGATGAAACTCTGAATCAAACACGTCTTGGATCCCAGCTGGAACAATATCAAATGTTTCAATGCGGCACGTTAAGATGCTTCGCGCATTTAAATTGTTCGTTTTTTTGCGTACATATGTAGTAATAATGACTATTCTGACCATGTTCTGCAGCAATACCTATTCAATAAATACATTGGCATTGAAATGATAACCCTGTTTAGTTGAATTACGTTGACAGCAAAAGTAAGTAAACACGCAGGCACTGTTGCTGTTGCTGTTAGTGAACACACAATCCGTAAATATCTTCTTTGGATTTGGTTCTTCCGCTCAGAATATTCAGTAAAACTTTGGGAAAATCAAAAAGCCCTAGGGCCGAATCGTTTCCCAAATACCTTCAACATTAGCCGAGGCGGGCCGAAGCCATTTCCCAAATGCACGTGCTAATGTTAAAGGGATATCTCGGCATGTGGTAAAAGCTTGTTAATTGAAACATTAGCTTACTTCTTTTCCATTGTGTGATGCTTTACTCATGGGAGCCGAGAACCATACCTACCTCGTTCTGTTGGTGGAAAGTGATACGCATTCCTATACGGTGACTTGGTAGAGGTGGAATTTTCCCTCGGGCTGGCGTGACTGAAACTTAGCTGGTGTTAACGAGAAGGTGACATTGGTGTGGGCAGGATTACACGATTCTATATTGAGTTCGAGCTCGATAACTCATTGAATTGGACCTCCCCTTCCCGGGTGTCTGGCGTTTAGGAGGCTGGATGCCTCAGACGTAATGGTCACGTATGGTCACGTTGAAG